TATTTTTAATAAAATACCATCGGGCGTGTTTTAAAGTCAACAAAATTTATGTTGTTTCTTTAATATCTTAAATACTTAATAAATGAAATGAGTGTGGAGTCGAACATGTATTTAAGGCAAAGCTGAATGTCAAATTGACTATAAACAGGCCTCAGTGTGCACTCGGTGCGCACTGGTGCAAGCAATCGAATTTGCTGTTAGGTTCACGAGAAAAATCGGTGCAATTTCCAGTTTCGCGTTTACTGACGCGATTTCAAGCGAACGAGCGCGAACAAATACGAACGAGCGACTCGCTCTGATCGCGTTACTCGCGATCGTTGACGCTGCTCGCTCGTGTTTGATCGCGCTCACTCGCTCGGTCTGGATTTCAGGCATCACGGAATGCTCGAGTAACGATCGCGAGGTCGTCGCTTAAACGACAACGGCCGCGTCACGTGGCGTCTCGAGACGGGCGCGCAGCTGATCGGATCGCTGGAATCGCGTTTCGAGAGGCGCGTAATTGAGTTAAGCTCCCTGGCGAGAGACTGAGCCGCGGAACGACGCATACGCACACACGCGGCACACGCGGATTCGTCATCGTGCGCCGCGATTTTCCCATGGGTGTCGCGAATAAACCGGTAAGACGCAGCCGAGGCCCGACTTTGCCGGAGTCCCTTCCCGCGAGATCGCTTTACCCGTAAGTTCCCTCCATTATGGAACAGAGCGCGGCGAGTGTATGTTTTCGTATTTACGCGTCTATGTACGGGAACACTGAGTCAATAGCACGGTAATGCTCGTCTTAATTTTCCATTAGGCAAAATGTTGAGTACAGCGTTGAGCATAAATTTAAATCTTTTCAATCGCATATGAAAGAAACGTACACAGATGATCGTAAGCAGCGCAGCCACGTTTTGACTGTAACGAGATTATAAAGTCAATAAATAATTCGCAATTTAATTGCAACTAATTAATTGATTAAATTAATTGACGAGTGCAATGAGATTGTTTAGCAACAGATAAAGTTCTGACTGTATAAGGATGGTATAATTTATAGATAAGAGTAGAGAATATTTAGAGATAGGGCGGGTATGGATGAGTGAATGAGTTAAGTTTCTATTGTAAACCAAGTCCCACTTTCTGGCTGTAAACTAAAGTGAATAAAAGATTGATATGTGATACAATGAGATTGTTTAGCATGTAGCGTGGCTATCGGCGCTCTACAACAGCGAAATAAATTAAGTTAAATTTTAGTTATGACAAGCGAGCCTTGTACAGTGCTGTTCATTAATGCCCGGGCCTGCAGTTTTATCATCACTTTTTCCATCCATACAAATCACTGGTAAAACCGAGGTCCAGGCAATCAATGAATGGCACTGTGCATAAATAATCACTTATAAAGCTCCTGTATCCGCTTCTGTAAGTGGAGACAGCGAGCAAATGATTAAACGACGTAAATCAAGGCGCAATTGTCCCTGGCGTCTATCGAGCGAGATTTCACCCTCAGATCTCTACGCCGAACAACAGAAACGGTGCAGCGATATGAGGCAACCGCGCGTCCCGATC